GGGGATAAGGAAGCCAATGCCATATTTCGACCTCTTTTTGGCTCCGGCGTTTCCTCTACCAGGGATGTGATCTTCTTCCTTGCACCATCCTTTTTTTTTGATCCAGGGAAGCAGGTCTCAAAAGGAGAAGAAATGGGGTGCAGGGAGAAGGGGTGCGAGGCTGCCCAGAGGAAAAAAACATCCCTTTTTTTTAATCCCCTCCCCCTTTTTCAAACGGGAAAGAAGTTCTCAGATGGCGAAAGGAGGACCCTCCGTGAGCTGAGTGACCCCATCGCTTCTCCGCCTTCTGGCAGCCTCCCTGGATGAGGGGAAGCGCCCACTCCGAAGGGCCGCCTCAGTTCTTCTTGTTCTTGGGGGTGTCGTACTTCCTCTTACTCGAGTACCACAGCAGCAGCGGGATGCCGATGGAAGGGAGCGTCATGACGCCAAAGGCGGCCCAGTCCAGCTTTTACAAAGAGAGGGAAGCAAAGGAGGTGAAATGGGAGAGAAACTGAGGCCAGCCCACCCAGATATCAGATGCAGATGAACAGAGCTGGAAGGGACCCTTGGAGGTCATCTAGTCCAACCCCCCCCCAAAGCAAGAGACCCTACATTTCTGACAGACAGCAGTCCAGTCTTTTCTTGAAGCTCCCACAACTTCCGAGGGCAACTTTTGTTCCATTGGTTGATTGTTCTCACTGTCAGAAAATTCCTCCTTATTTCCAGGTTGAATCTCTCCTTGTTCAGTTTCCATCCATTATTCCTTGTCTGGCCTTCGGAGGCTTTGGAAAATAGCTGGACCCCCTCCTCCTCTCTGGGGCAGCCCCTCAAATACTGGAAGGCTGCTCTCCTGTCTCCCCTGGTCCTTCTCTTCCCTAGACTAGCCAGGCCCAGTTCCTGCAACCGTCCATCGTATGTTTTAGCCTCCAGTCCGCTAAAATCATCCTGGTTGCTCTTCTCTGCACTCTTTCTAGAGTCTCAACATCTTTTGTAAAGTGTATTGACCAAAACTGGATGCAGTACTCTAGGTGTGGTCTTACTCAGGCTTTATAGAGTGATATTAATACCTCCCTTGATCTCGATTGTACCCCTCTGTTAATGCAACTTAGGATTGCGTTGGCTTTTTTGGTTACCGCCACACACTCCTGGCTCACATTTAATTGGTTAATCAGCAGAGGCCCTCTCAGAGAATCATTTACCCACAACTGGGTCCCAGTTCAAAGGAGGAGGAAGAGGAGGGGTTGAAACTGGGACCATCCAACAAGGAACTGCATCTCTCCCCTGGAATGTTTGGCGAGTCCAGGAGCTCAGGATGATATTGTCCCAGGCCCCTCGGGCATTGGGGGAAGTGGTCAACCTGGGCAGAAGCTGCCTGACTTCACAAATATACATACATACATACATACATACATAATTACAGTCACATGAATGCAGGACACTGCAAACAGCTGGGCCAGTTGCCAAGCGTTGGAAATATGATTGTGTGTGTGTGTGTGTGTGTGTGTGTGTGTGTGGCCACTGGAACTCTGACTCTGGATCATAAGTGGCCTTAGGAAGGTCTGTTGTAACCTCAACCAGTCGTCATAAGCTGAGGACTATCTGAACTCAGTTATTCCCAGTGACACAAATTAGGTGCGTCGGAGTGAACTCAAGATTACTTACAAAGTGCGGTGAAAACCTCCTGTCGAATTCCCGCTGGGCCAAGATCCCTCCTTGCCCTGGGGCACTGGTGAAGCCGACCTAATGAAAGAAATTAAGGGGGCGGTCTTGATTGGCAGGGGATGCTGGACGCCAGGATCCCAAAAACTCTTGTCCTCAAAAGCCCAAAGATCCCTGTCCCCAAACTCACTGAATAATCATCAGCTATTTGAATCAATGATTGATGAATGTCTCTTTTCTTTTATGTACACTGAGAGCATTTGCACCAAAGACAAATTCCTTGTGTGTCCAATCACACTTGGCCAATAAAAGAATTCTGTTCTGTTCTGTCCTGTCCTGTCCTATCCTAATCTAATCTAATTTACCTAACAGCCCAATGAGCTTCCTAGAGCATTGTGGCATTCATACAACCCTTTCCAAGTCCCTTGCGCAGAATTAGCAGAAGAAATGACCATTGGAAACTTCAAATCCTGCCTTATCATAATATTGTAACATCAAATTTCAGGAACAAAGGAAGGAATCCTTGGGGATTTTACTCTGCTAGTCATTGCCAGATATAGGATCTCATCTCTGTGCTCATCTGTCTCAAGGCCCTTGAGCCAGCGCTGTCCGAAGACATTTCCATGATCATGTGACTAGCACATCATCACAGAGTGAGATTACTGTTCCCACTGAAGTGGTACCTATTTATGTGCTCGCATTTGCATGCTTTCAAACTGCCAGGATGGCAGGAGCTGGAGCGAGGATGGCAGCTCCCTCTGACGTGTAGCGCTGGGGTCTCGAAACTGAGCTGCCAACAAGCACAGCGTCTTCATTGGTGAGCCACCACGATGCGCCCCCCTCCCAAGGTCAGGAAGAGTCGAATAAATATTGCCTGAAAAGTTACTAATTTAACCAGTGAACGCTGGCAGATCCTGGCCTCAGGCCAAGGCGCCTGTGACTTACCACCACCTGTCCCCCTTCCTGCACCAGGTAGGTGATTGTGGCAGATGTGAAGTTGAAGTAGCCAGCCTTCAGTGGCCTGAGGACCACAGTGTGGGACACGTTGCTGGCCCTGAGCAAGTCAACGGCTAAGGAAGTCAGACACACAGGTGAAAGCAGCAGGGAAAAAAACCCTCCACTTTGGGATACAGGTAATCCTGGGCTGATGACCATTTGGTCCAAGGGTCTTCAAACTTGGCAAGTTTAAGACTTGTGGACTTCAACTCCTGGAATCCCTGAGCTAACATGACTGGAGGAGGAATTCTGGGAGTTGAAGTCCACAAGTCTTAAATCTGTCGAGTTTGAAGACCCCGATCTCTCTCTCCCTCTCTATCTACTGTCAGGAGAATAATGATTTAATTAGGGCGATTGCTGGAATCCTAACAGCTACAGTATTATATCTATCTATCTCTATCAATCTATTATTTCCGTTATCTATTTATCTCTATTATCTATATCTATCTACAGATTATATCTATTTATCTGTCGTCCGTCTCTCTAATCAATGTTATTCATCTATCTGTACCTATATATCCTGTCTCTAATTTATAACATCTATAGCTCTGTCTGTATCTGTCTATCTTATATCTGTCTACCATCTATCTATCCTATCTATCTATCCTATATATAATCTGTCTCTAATCAATATCTATAACTATTTGTTAATCATCTATATCAAGGGTCTTCAAACTTGGCAAGTTTAAGACTTGTGGACTTCAACTCCCAGAATTCCTGAGCTAACATGACTGGAGGAGGAATTATGGGAGTTGAAGTCCACAAGTCTTCAAGCTATCAAATTTTAAGACCCCTGAATTTAGTCAGTGAACATTCCAAATTCTGAAGGCACTCTATGCATGAGTGGTCAAACGAGATGTCCAAACTCTTTGGTAGCCTCACACTGCAATGAACAAGGACACACATTCAATTTTGCAACTACAAGAACCATGGTGGCACAGTGGTTAGAGTGCAGTACTGTAAGCTACTTCTGCTGACTGCCAGCTGCCAGCAGTTCGAGTCTCACCAGGCTCAAGGTTGACTCAGCCTTCTGTCCTTCCAAGGTCGGTAAAATGAGGACCCTGATGGTTGGGGGGCAAGAGGCTGACTCTGTAAATCGCTTTAGAAAGGGCTGTAAAGCACTGGGAAGCAATAGATAAGTCTAAGAGCTATTGCTACTAAGATTGTTGGATGAGTAGGCACAAAAACAGCTAGGGAAGTGATTGAAGCCTGGGAAATCAGCCCGTCAGTCAACAGGTTAGTCCTTGGGAGGGGGCCCTTGGCTGTAATAATCTAAGCAGTGTTCCTCAACCTTGGCAGCTTGAAGATGGATGGGCTTCAAGTCCCAGAATTCCCCAGCCAGCAATGCAACGTCCTGCAATGCTGGCTGGGGAATTCTGGGAGTTGAAGTCCACCCATCTTCAAGCTCTCAAGGTTGAGAAACAATGATCTAACACTAAATGGCCATCTTAGGATTGTCGCTTTTTTAACTTTTGCCTGTCAACTCGTAAAGCATTCCTATGCCTGTTTTCGAGTTGCCATAATCAGGAGGGGGGGAAAGCCTGAAGGAGCAGTATGGCAAATAAAACCAGAAGTACATTCCACGCTAATCTTACAAAGATTGTAGCTAGGCTACCGGATCTTCTGCCCACGAAAATCCTTCATTGGAGAATGTGATTGATGACACCCAGCCCGTGAACATGCATCTGATTTATGACACACCCAGGGTTGAGGGGAGAAACAGGGTCACAAGTGACCATAAATTACGTGTGGCAGAGTTGGCTTCATATGAGTCAGTGCCGACATGTTGCTCCTAATAAATCTTTTGGATTCTTTTGAAGTTTGGCTCGAGGCTCATGATTGGGGCAATCGCCGGAACCATGACATTGTCATTATTCTAGAATTTTGAAATTTTTAACCCTCATTTAATTTTTAATTCCTAATATTAATTTTTATGTGCTGTTTATCAGTTATATTATAATTGTACACTGGCCAGAGCTCCTCTCTCAGAAGGATATTTAGAAATATGAAATATTTCTAATTTGCGCATCCTTCCCAACCTGTATGGCAGCTCTCATGCACCACCCTGTCTGGAGGGGGGGGGCTCACAAGCACCTTTGCATCCTTACTGTGCCCCCGGCACATCCCCACACCACCCCAAACTGAACAGCACAGTCTTATGTCGTCCCTGAACTAACCTGTGGTGCCTCTTGTATATTTTACTGTTTTTACGAACCACCCAAAGTCAGTGGGCATAAAATTGTGTGCTTGTTAGTAGGATTCACTGGGTTAGGGATTTTCCCTTTTTGTCTTCACTGTGAGTTGTGTTGGGTGTGGGTGTGTGCGCGCAAAGGGAGACTCAGCCAAACTCATTGTACACATGTTGTACTCTGACAATAAAGGTTGGTTTGATTTGATCAAATCCATGCAAACCCATCCAACAGATCAGGGTCCTTCGGTGGGGGAAAAGGATACGGTGCAATCCTGTCCCATTTCACGTTGAGCATCCCGGAGACGATACCAAAATCTTCTGGAGGGAAGGAGTCGTCCGACAACTCAACATCTAAGGCAGCGCTACACACCCAAACAGAGAAAAGAGGGAACAAGAACAAAGCATTACAAGGTAGGCCTTGAGTTATGATCGCCGTTGAGCCCCAAAACATCTGTTGCTAAGTGAGACAGTGGTTCTGTGAATTTTGAGCCATTTTATGACTTTTTGTCAAACCCTGAAGCTGACCTGACGGAAGCCATCTTGGAAGCTTCAGTATTGCCAGAGATACTGCAAATAGAAACATTTTTAGAACTAATCAATTGAATTTTGCTTATTTTAAAATCAAGGGACAGTTTGGTTCTAGAGTAGGGGTCTCCAACCTTGGCAACTTTTGAATAGAATAGAATAGAATAGAATAGAATAGAATACAATAGAATACAATACAATAGAATAGAACAGGGATAGGGATAGGGATAGAATCCTTTATTAGCCAAGTGTGATTGGACACACAAGGAATTTGTCTTTGGTGTATAAACTCTCAGTGTACGTAAGAAAAATAAAATATATTAAACAAGAATCATAAAATACAACACTTAGTGATAGTCATAGGTTACTAATACGCAATCAAAAC